CTGTACCACATCTGACATCACAGAGGGTGCTGTAGAAGGTAGTACTGATGACATCACTGGATGGGATGGTGCTGTAGACTGTGGTACTGATGACATCACTAAATGGAAGGGTGCTGTAGAAGGAACCACTGATGACATCACTGGATGGGAGGGTGCTGTAGACTGCGGTACTGATGACATCACTGGAGGGGAGGGTGCTGTAGAAGGAAGTACTGATGACATCACTGGATGGGAGGGTGCTGTAGACTGCGGTACTGATGACATCACTGGATGGGAGGGTGCTGTAGATTGCGGTAATGATGACATCACTGGATGGGAGGGTGCTATAGACTGCAGTACTGATGATATCACTAGATGGGATGGTGCTGTAGAAGGAAGTACTGATGACATCACTGGATGGGAGGGTGTTGTAGACTGCGGTACTGATGACATCACTGGATGGGAGGGTGCTGTAGACTGCGGTACTGATGACATCACTGRATGGGAGGGTGCTGTAGACTGCGGTACTAATGACATCACTCGATGGGAGGGTGCTGTAGACCTTTGTAGTAACATGTCTATTGAGATTGATTCTGTTTTAGGAACTGCTGACAAAGCAGTTCCAGAAGGAATGAGTGGCTGATTGACAGTTACAGTTGGAACACCTGTGCCTAGAACTGCAGAGCTGCCATAAATGCTAGGACTCTGTGCAAACGTTTGAAGGTTTAATGGTACTTCTGGAATAGTGGTAAGTAATGTTTGGGTTATCCCTGCAGGCTGTGACTTCTGTGTAGTTGGCATGACACTTATTCCTGCAGTCTGTGACAACTGTGTAGCAGGTATGACATTTAACCCTGCAGGATGTGACATCTGTGTAGCTGGTATGACATGTATCCCTGCTGACTGTGATGTCTGTGTAGCAGGTAGAACACTTATCCCCGCAGACTGTGACACTTGTGTAGCAGGTATGACACTTATTCCTGCTGACTGTGACACCTGCGTAGCAGGTATGACATTTAACCCTGCAGGCTTTGGCAACTGTGTAGTAGGTGTGACACTTCTACCTGCAGGCTGTGACATCTGTGTAGCTGGTGTGACACTTATCCCTGCAGACTTTGACAACTGTGTAGCTGGTATGACACTTATCCCTGTAGGCTGTGACTTCTGTGTAGCTGGTGTGACACTTATCCCTGCTGACTGTGACATCTGTGTAGCTGGTGTGACACTTCTCCCTGCAGACTGTGACATCTGTGTAGCTGGCATGACACTTATCCCTGTAGACTGTGATGTAGAATTTATCAATAATGTTTCAACATTTGTAGCAGGTGTTTTTACAGTGTTTACATTTGCATTAACTAAAGTACTCCCACCAGATTGCATAACTTTATTCACCAATGGCACAGAAGTATGTAGAGAAACAGTTTTTCCTGAACCAGTAGAAAGTGCTGCACCACCTTTGGGTAAGGGATTTGCATTTGCTTTATATGTTGCTACAGCAAGCTTTGCTTTGGCTTTTCGTTCAGCTTCCATTTTTTTCTGTTCCCGTCTTTTCACAAAGTTATCTACCACACTGCAAAGTCTTTGTTTTTTGCATTCAAAGTCTTTTTTGTCTTTTGTGAGACAGCGTTTTCGTTTGCGTGATGGCATTCCACTTTCCCATGTCCATCCACCACCACCAAATATGCGGTATTCTTCTCCCTTTTGCTTCCAAATCTGATGGATTGGCGTCCAAGAATAGTTAACTAAAATACAATAAAAGAAAAGAAAAAGAAAATAACAGGTACAAATACGTATTTGGATGGAGTACCAAGTATCAACGAGATACCAAATAAAATCAATTCTTTAGGAATATCAAGACAGCAGTACCAGACGTTTCGACAACATCTTATCATTGATTTTTCAACAGTTTAAAGAAATAGCTAGTGAAGTCATTAAACCCGTGAAATAGATGTTAGACTAATACACTTTAGTAGACCCTAATTCCATTGTTTTCTTTTGTGTCTATTTGACTATTACACGTTGACTAGTATTTTTTATTTCACGGGTTAAATGCCTTCGCTCTACAAAGCTGAAGACAGTAATACAACTAAATACTACTAATATATTAATAAAATATTAGTAATTAAAACTCAAAACAACTCTACAGAACACTGCCTTCTATTGCACAGTTTTAAATTTGAAAGGAAATTTTTACTTCACTGCTAGTCTAATAACATTTAACCTCAAGGAAGCTTTTTATCTTCAACAATATCATTAGGGACTTAGATAATATCTTGGCCAATAAACTTTTTTCACATCTACAATAAAATACCATAGTGTTTCTTGATTGCAGACTCCCTCGTTTGATTGGGAAATTTTTTTTACACAAAATTATAACTAAAGTAAAGTTGAGCAACAAAGAACTTGAAACTAAAGTAGTTAAAATATTCTATAATATTCACAATAAATGCTCATATCCAAGAATGAACAAACAAAAACTAGTGTGAGCTGCGTCGGTGTTTCTAATGAAACAGTAATGATAAAAAGGTAAATCATACACCGTGAAAAGATGAAAAAACTGACGTTTTGGATGCTAGTCCTTAGTTGTACAGTTCTTTTCAACATCTTAGTAACTCCTCTTTAAAATTTGAACAAAACTTTCTGTCTTATCTCACACCTGTTCTAGAATTCTTCATCAACTACAGGTATTGTGACAAGTGTTAATACTTAATGAAATGAAAAGCTGAATTTTTTTAAATCCATTTCCCCCCACAAATGGACAGGCTAATACTTTATTATTTAGCCTCATTATGCAGACAATTTTAATGTAATGGGGGCGAAACCTTTTTTAATACCCTAAGAACCTCCGCCTGTGAGGCTATTCATTATTAATATAAACCTACTAATGGACTAACACAAATCCTGAATTAGGATTAATATTATTATTTATTAGTTATAGACTACTAGAAGATAAAAGTTCCAGTTTTGGAAACCAAAACAAAGCAAAAAATAAATTATTTCAACCTTTTTTGTATCTGTTTTGGTACCAATTATTTGGTTTATACTAAAACAATTATACCTCTCCTCCTCATGGTCAACAAGTCAATGACCTACTCCACCTTCAGTTTCATAGGTTATTGACCCATAGACCATTCAGCCTGGGGTCTAATTGTTAAGTATGCTTGGGTTTAAAATGATTAAAATGTCAATTCAAAAAATTTTGTTGTTGACCAACTCAAGCCTACGCGACTGGACCGAAAGGAACTCTGGGTAGCAATCATTGAAGCCGAGTTAACTCCATAATTTTATCTGACTAGTTATGCCTGGTTTACAGCACGAACCTTAGTAGGCGAGCTGGAAGTGTTGAAGGAGACGTTTTTTTAATGCCTTCATATTTTCGGAATTGTGAACTGAATCATAACTTGTTTTTTTCCCTAAACCCGAAGACATACATTTGATGGATTGTTTCTCCCCATTATTATCTTACACGTATTACTAGCAGGAACGATTAATTCAAAACGAATATTTAACCGCTTCAGTGATTTCTATTCATATTCCTTTCGGTCCAGTCGTGTAGGCTTGAACTGGTCGACGACAACGTTTTTTGAATTGACTGTATACTTACCAAATACTCTGTCTCTATAATCTACATCTTCTTCTTCATCCTTGTGCTCTCTCTTCTTTTTTTCAGCTTTAGTTTCAACTATTATCCTGTGTAGTTCAGTATGTCCCAAGGAATCATTCCAGACAGGAAGAAAACAAACTGGTTTAATTAGGCTTTCAAGAAAGCAAAGTGCCGCAGCAAACTCTACTGGTGTGGTCGACATGTGAACAGCTCTGACCCATGTTGATCTTTGAACAGGCCATACTGGATGCATGAATGCCGCTGGGATGTTATTCTCCAAGTTGACAATAGAACAGCGTAGAGTGTTCAAAATTACATCCTTAGGACCAAAGATTTCTCCGCTTAACTTAAATTCATTAAATACACTGAATTTATTGCTGACTGCTCTTCTCCTTTCTTTGTTTTCCATGTGCTGTTGTCTGTTCAGAGCAAGTGGATCAGTTGCAAAGTGATTCACATAACCAGAAAAATTATCCTCCATTCCGAGCCTAAAGAAAGGACCTTTCACATCATAATCATCAACTATTGCTTTTTGTTGTTCAGATTTCACAAGCCCATTGTTGGTCAGAGAACTTTCTTCAACATTCAAACAGTCTTTATTGTCTGGTTTATTTTCTTGCTTTACAATCGCTTGTAAGCTGGCGGCACTATCATTCTTCTTTGGACCTTTAGCAGCATTACTCTCTTGTTTTACAGTCGTTTCTTTGTTAGATACCAACATTTTAGCAGGTGAACTGCTTGTATCAGAAGGATTACAGTCAGGTATTGATTCTTCATGCCTTTCATTTGATGCTTTTGGTTGCGTTGTACTAGTCATGTGCTTGTCCTTTATGTGTTCTATGATGCTAGATTGTTTACTATCACCCTTATGGTCTACTTCCATATCCTGGCCATCAGATGACAGATGGTTACTATCACTCTTGGTTACAACACGAGATATCTTGTCTACTTCCTGGACGTCAGATGACAGATGGTTACTATCACCCTTGGTTACAACATGTGATATCTGATCCACTTCCTGGACGTCAGATGACAGATGGTTACTTGATGTTTCCTTCCTTTGTTCCATGACTGCAGTTCTTCTGTCAATAACAGGTTCTGCTGCTGCTGCCACTGTTTCCTGATTGGTTTTTGTAACTATCTTGGCCACTGCTGTATCAGGAACAAATGTTAAGTTAACTTTTGATGAATGGGATTCCTGTGGTGTCAAGCCTGCAGTACAATGGGAAGCATAACATCAATATTTACTGTAACATCCATAATTGTATATTACATATTTTTATACATTTTTATATTTATAGTTTTGTCATGCCATTGTAATTGTAATTCAGTCTGTACTGCAGGAATGGTTATTAAAAAATCTTATTACAGTGCAACCGACACGAACGATGAACATTAAGTTTTTTTTTWAATATTTTTTTATAATTATCCAATCACAGCTCTCTGTAGAAACAAAGGAATCAAACATTTTTTATCGCCATCCAATCACAACAAACCGTGGAAAATCTTTACATGTTTTATTTTTAGCTGACTCCATGTGAACTTATGAACTGCTAGATCAAGTATTAAAACGTGGACTTTCAATAATTTACAGAAATAAAACAAAAATATAGTTCATTGGCAAAGTAGCTGTCATATAATAAAACCTTTTATAACGGCAACAACTACACAAGAGACTCCAGAATCGCACAAAAAAATGTTGGAATCTAGGTTAGAATCTGGTTTCTGATTGGATGATTCAAAAATTGTTAAAAAGACCTGAAGTGTTCATGGTTCGAGTGTCGGCACAGTAAAGAATATTGTTATCATCATCATCATCATTTTTATTATATTCTGTGCATGACCTATAAAGAGCAGATCCTGGGGGGGGGGGGGTTTTAGTGGCTACCCAACACACCTTCTGGAAATCAAAAATAATAAGAATCAAGAATAAGGCCAAAATAAGGCAAAACTTTGAAGAGGGTGGTATGTGATAGACGTTCAGCAGCAACCCTTGACAGTATATATGTCAGAGAAAGAGAGAGAGAGAATTAATTACCTTCTGAAACAGAATCTGATTGCTTTTCACCTTTTTTCCGTCTTGCAAGAAGACCAGATTTCATGTCACCTAACAACCAACAAATTTCATAATTACTAATTATTCTTATATCATATTATTTCAAAGTTTCCACATGATAAACATTCTTATGGGAAGCCATTTCAAAGTTACAGAATATCGTACCTTGTACATGCTGTAAATTAGTTCTACGAAAACCACTCTATATGCTAGAGGTTTTAAGAAAAATATGATCTTGATTCATAATGAATGAATACAATTCAATAGCCCACTTTGAGGATATGCTTTACTTGTCACACACACAACGGCTTCAGTGTGAGGCTTTGAGCATACTCATTGATGTGTAATATACTAAGCTTTACACACACAAAGGTTTCAATATGAGGCTTCATGCATATTGCTATATGCTAAGCTTTTCACACACAAATGTTTGCGTGCGAAGCTTCATGCATAATGCTCTTATTTGTGACACGAGAAAATAATTCATTCATTTTAGCAAGTAGCCTTTACTGAAACCTTTGTGTGTGAAGCATATCTTGAAAGTGGGCTGTTGTGGTATTTGATTCACACACATTCATTAACTAGCTGTTCATACCCCTGGAAGCCTCTATTAGTGACTCAGTAATGCCCATTTGTCTGATGATGGTATTGTACTTGGTTTTAATGGCTGATAATAATCTTCTTTCTTGTCCATCATCCTCTAAATATTCAATCAGCTCATCCAGGTGTGGCTTACTACTGTAGTATAGCACTAACTCATCCTCACTTTCACTGAAAAATAAAATAATATAGTCAGTTTTTCACTTTTTCAGTTTTCTGCTAACCCCCTTTATAACTGCACACAGCACAGCAAGAAAGTTCTTTTTTCTTTTATTAAATTCAAATTACAATAAACATTATTTTTAGATAGGAATGAGACAACTGAAAATGCTCAGGCATGCTGTGTGCTCTCAAAAAATAATAATTTTTTTTTATAAATTACTGTGGCAGAGCAGAAAAGATAATGGCTGCTTTTGGCCAGACATGAAAACTGTTATTTTTTTGTGGGCATTGTCATTGGTCAGCTTTTTTGAGTACTACATAATAGCGCAGCGCAGCCGTGACGTCATAAAAACGAAGACAAAGGCGAAATTCGGACAAACAAACTTACAAGTTTACTTTCAGCAAATAATTTTCACATCCGATCGCAGTTGATCTTAGTTTACATGGGTTATTATTGTAACTTTAAGYAAAAATAATAAAATCRGTTCRTATAATCCTCATAGCAGTTAAACAGAATGCAATGTTTGTCCGAATCTTTAAGCTATTTTTAGAATCAGCGCGCTGCGCTATTCAAAATGTTACATAACGCACCCATACATGCACATCTATCTTTCTAACTAATACGTACTGGGCTTCCTGTGGTGGGGTCATTTGTTTAAATTGGATCTTTCAGTGTTTTTTGTTTTGTTTGCAATCTATTAACTCTAGATTCCTTTTAATACTTTGGAAATATTTACCTTCAAGCCACATATGCCATAGCAATTACTATCCAAATTCCAAAAATTCCAATTATTCAAAATTTCCCCCAAAAACCTTGAATACACAAATTTCCCAAAAGCCATGAATCGTCACCCAATTTTGGGTAAAATATATTGGTGTGTCCCATTCGTTAGTTTCATTCCTATCCACCCTTCAATCTGGTGCTTTAAAGGTTGCCACCACCCTCTACCATCCTTGGAGTATTATACAATATATATATATAGTATATATAATGTTTTTCTCAAACTTACACGAAGAGACGACGAGAAAGAAACCAATACTTTCTGCCCTGTCTATCAGTGCCTAGTGGTGTGTGTCTCAGCCACCCATCCTTGATCCAGGCTGGTTGACAGTCAGTCACCCCCTTGAGTTGATGTTGGTCACATATTGGACACAACCAATCGCCTTCTGGAACCACTTCAAGCGGAGGCTTTAAACAGTGAAGATGGTAGACGGCAGGGCAGGCCTCACAGCACAACAAATCACCCATTTTACTGCAATTTCGACAATGATCCTCAGATTCCACTATCCCTTCGTTGATAATCACTTCACGGACGGTATTCGAAGCTAGGAACAAATCACAAAGTCTCTGCAAGACTTTTAGTCGATCGCTTATTGAGACGAAAGGGAACGGGTGTTGAGGATCGCGACCTTTGATTGTGTCTAAAAGATCACAAAATTCTGTCTTATCCGAGAAGAAATAGCTTCTTATGTGTTCTGGCCATGTAAAACAATCTACTTCATGAAGGAAGATGTTTAGACTATCCTTTTCATCGCTCGCAGCGAATGTGTAGCCATTTGTTTCGTCTTCTTGTAGAAGCGCACGGAACAGCGCCATGTGAATCTGAGACAACAAGGCCGACTGCTCTGACGAGTCGATAGCTGCACAAAAATCCTCAAATCTAAACGGAGAAAGCCGTAGAATCCTACCAAACTGCCTGAGTACTTCATATATGCCTAACCCTTGAAGAACGTGTTCAGGAGGTAGAATTATGTCATCTGAGGACCGCGGTAGCGCGAGTGGAGTCACTGTTTTCATCGGAATAACTCTTGGAATTTTATAACTTCTAACGCTAGAAACTGTAGAAATAGAAGATTCATAACTAGAATCAGAATCACTGTCACTATCACTGAATTGTATCCCTTCAAAATAGCTCCTTCTTTGTGTAGATCGATTAGATTCCCTTGTTTTAACTCCTTCACCAGTCTGAGGTGAACAAACTCTTGTGCTGCTTTGGCCGCCATGTTGGCTTCCGCGACGATTGCTTTTTAGCAACTTTGAGCTATACACGGGAGTTTTAGGCGGTCTTCCTCTTCCCCGCTTCATTTTTCGCTCAAAATGCAATCATTCACTCAGCCATTACTGGATTATAACCATTAGAGTAATTTTCGGTACTCATGTGTGTCACTTCTCGCCATTTTTCCAGTTTTCTTCAGATTCTTGGCCGCCACATTTTCTGGCGGGACCAACGACACATAAAGGTCACGTGACCAACCCACAAGGCATCTCGCTCGCCTCAATCAATATCAAAAATATCAAAAATAGACTTTAATAAAGGATCGTAATAATAAAACAATTAAATGCATTATTAGATTGTGTTTCTGGTTTATTTGGGATCGATATTAAATTAAAATGACGGGAATTATGAGACTTTGATGAAATATGGAAATTATGATGTAGTAGACCATAATGCTTTGCGCACCTCGTGATTTCAAGATGGCCGCTGTTCAGTCAGTGAATCCTCCCATGTACAAATTACCGGTGTTGTATAATAATTCAAGCCCTTTAGATCTCCCTACTTGTATGTATCAAATGAGTTCTTGCCATTATGAAGAGGTTAGTAACAAAGGGGGGAAAATTACGTGGTGTTTTTAGTACATCTTAAAAGAGGAAGTCAATTTATTTGATGCCACGCAAGCCTTGCTTCGATGATTTTAAGAAACTCTGTCATCTTGTTCAACAGGTTTCTGATGGTAACGATCAACGAGAAGATATCCTTACGTTAGAGAATAAACAAGAGAATATCCTAAGAGAGTTGGAAGTGCTTAGAACCGAAATCAATGGGCTGGCTTCAAAACTTGAAGTTAAACTTCCAACAAAAGTAAGTTAGGGGATAATTCCATACATTTTTTTAATGATCTGATACAATTATTTATATCACAACAAGTTCAATTTTCCTTTTTTCATACACAAAGTTTATATGAAATTGTAAATTGAAAATACAACCAATCAAAATGCAGAAAAACTGTTGTATATTATGTGGTATTCCACTGTTCCTTCCCATCAGGCATTGTAGTGGCCTTGGGGTATTATATACAAAAATAGAGTTACTACAGTAGATTTACACAGAGTAATTTTCATCCAGGCCCTTTACTAGATTGAATTAGAATTTAGATGATTTTTGCAGAGGGAGGAAAACTGAAATAGAACCATTAAAGCACAGGAGAGAACCAACAAACAACTCTACTCACATATGACGAGTCCAAGAATCGAACCTACTAAGTCTCATTGGTGAGAGGCAAGCATTCCCGACACTACACCACCCATAATTTAACTTGTCACTTGTTTTTGAAATTGAAATAAGTTTTCTCCTTTTCTTGTTTTTTTTTTAGAGGAGTCCAGTATCTGTGGACTATGTCATATCAGCATCTCCACAAGACCCGCCATTATCCTTATTCCTCTTGCAGCGTATCATGAATCAAAGGAATATGGTTCATTGTGCATCTACTTTTCTCCATTCAAGTGTTTCTGTTTGTGATGTGACTAAAGTGCCTACATTTCAAAAACCTAGGAATGACCGGGGTAGACAATCACCTTGTTTGCTGACTGTAGTCTGGAAAAATGGTAAGAACTGCTTTGGTACCACAGCTTTATATAAGAAACTAAAGCAGTGGAGGCTTTGCACCATCACGTGGCAGCAGCCAAATTAAATGGCAGGAATAATACTATCGTTTTACTTTAGAAACAATTCAATTCCCGAGAGCAAAGGGATTTTATTATTCTGCCATCTAACCACAGGTAGTTCAAGTGCATTATGGGTGCCGGCACGTGATGGTGCAAAGCCTCATGTGTGTTAGAGTACAGCAGAAAAGAAGATATGAATTAAGTTATTGGATTGTAGCAATAAAGCCTATCATAGAATGAATAATTGATCAGTCAAAAATACTTCCTGAACAGTTCATGGGTAATTCCAATCCATCTCCATGGACACTGAGTAAAGTTTAGAAGACTCTAAATGTTTGTTGGTCATTCTGTTCAAGTGCACCCAGTACTGGTAGGCAACACTTCAATCACAAGACAAATGTTGCATTTTGTTGCATCAAAGTTTGAAGTGCTTCAGCTTTGTCCATGACCAAAAGTGTGCCCAAATGCTCTCAAAATATAAGGCTCAACAACAACAATGCTCAGTACTGTTTGCAGTCAATCATGGCAAATCATGACAGACAGTTGGGCGATTGTCAACCAAGATATATTGTTGGCTGGTCATAAACTATGTTATTACCCTTTTGTGCTATAAATGTTGTAAGAATTTGCATGAGATTTTTTTAATGTTTTACAATATTTAGCTGTTATGAATTGTTTAATCTTGTTTAACAAGTTTTATGTTTTTTTTATATACACAGTTCCTGATCTGCCGTATCTTGTAATCTCATCAAGTCACACACCATTGTTTGGTGAATTTACCATAGCTCGCCATTTAAGCCGTGCTTGTCTTCCCGATCTATACAGTAAATTTGGTATCGATGAGATTGCTCACATCGACCACTGGATACACTTTGCAAGCAATTCCATTCTGAACAGCAAGAGTAAAGAGAGAGCAGATGCTCTGCACACTTTGAATTCCTATCTGAAAAGTAAGACCTGGTTAGTGGGGAATCAAATGAGTCTTGCTGATATAGCTGTAGCCAGTGCTTGCCTTCAAGTAGGGTCCTTGCAGCCTACATTTGGCAATGTCAAAAAATGGCTTGACAATTTCCCATCACTACAGTAGACTGTCTTCAGCAACAATGATATGTATTAGTATCATAAGCAGAACATAATTTATAGAATCTAGAATGTTAAAAAGTCTAATAAACTGGTTTTTTTTTCACAATTGTGATTTCTTTCCTAATACCATCAAATGAGGTCTAATCTATTTATATATGGTGAAGGATTCAGTTTTTAGGGGCGAAATACACTATCATTGTGCTTCCGTTCATGACTTCCATCGTGATGGGGCAAAGCCTCTATTGCTTAATTGGGTGTTATTTTATGACAAGAACAACAAGATATCATTGTTTCTAGCTTATGTTTGGGTTCAATTCTCATCGGAATGTATCAAATAGATCAATCTATACACCAAATCAAAATATGACAAACAATGTGAATAGCTATTGTTCTACACTGAAGAGTCACTGACTAGTCTTTCATACATGTTAAGACTCTTTTATGATTCCACATAAACCAAGGCAAGTTAAAAGCTAGTCAGGGCAGAACAATAGTTATTCAAATTGGTCGCATTATTTCAATATTCAATAGTATTCTACTGTACCTACCAGCTGTTATGTTAAGTCCACCAGACTGTCCAAAACAACAAGCTAAACTACTTATCGTCCAGTTATCCTCAATTGATTTTACAGGTTCTAAACAGGGGTTCATTAAATGCCTAAAAATGATAAAGCTTCTGCAACAAAGCATTTGTAATAACTTAGCAACCATGTGACACAAATGAAGTATAAAAATCTACATATGACTTGATCATGAATTAAAGTATTGCTGAAGGTAGTACACTACATGTTGAAAATATATAAGATTGGAAAAAACAAAATGAGGGGCAGGAGAATAGAGAAATGAAGAGAAAGAGTGCTTACCCTGATGACTTTTTATACCTAAATGACCACAATTCTCTTTAAGATCTCCTTCCATATTCAAATGCTATTACACAGGGGGGGAAACACATTCCCAAATTGGGAATCTGTTGGGAATTTCCTTGAATTCCCAATGAATTCCCATCCAATTCCCAGAGAGAACGAAATTGGGAACGTGGCACTGATTCCCAATATTAGTTTGTTGGGAATTTTGTTTTTCTATTGGGTATTAGAAGGAAATTGCCAACAATAAATCCCAACATTGGCATTCAAATTGGGAATTCAAGGAAATTCCCAACAATTCCCAATTTGGGAATCCGGTTTTTTTCCTGTGTTAAATTAGTAAGGGCAGATCCAGAAATTTGCAAGGGGGGTGTACAACATGAAAAAAAACAGCAATATAGTGACGCCATCAATAATCCTGATCTGACTTATTGAAATATTGTTCTAAGACCTATTTTTATATCTTTTGCAACTAATCTTGAGTTGGACTAAATATTCAAGAAACAGAAATCATAAATGAAAAGAAAAATTACATACGTACAAAATAACCAAGGTGACTTTGGGGGGGGGGGGGGGGGGGGGGGGGGGGCGTCCGGCGTCCTTAAGGACACAAACCTGGGAATTAGGGATTTTTTTCAGAATGGTTAGCCTGTGGAATTCCAATCACAACGATGCATTGGGCTTCCTGTGTTGTCTGGGCTTCACTACTGATGGCGTCCACAACAAAAATACTAGGAGATATTCTCTTTAGAAATGCAAGAATCAATGCAGGTTAGAGTAGTATAATTAACAGCATAATATGATTTTATTACTTAACTTACTGTTGCCTTAGGAAAGATTCCATGTCGCTCCAAGATTCATCTGATAAGACGATGGTTATCGTCCACAACTAGCCTCCAGGATCCCATGATCTATACACAATACAGCCCTTGTGGTCAGATAGCAACTGTTGAGCTCAATAGACCACCTGTGAATAGCTTTAGCATGCAGTTTATGGAAGAGATTATCCGTACATTGGAAAGTATTGAAAAGAACAACAAATGTCGTGGGATTGTATTCACATCTGTAAGTCATCTCGCAATAAAAGTCAAGCTTATATTGGTCTGTATATATAGTTAGCTTTCCATAAATGATGTATAATTTCATTTCTATATTTACCTCTTCTAAGCAAGACTTAAATTATAATAATTTATAATGATTTTTTTAAACAAATTAAATGAATGGAAAAAATAATTAGAATCAGTTGAATTAAGCAGAATAAAACTCATGATGTAGTATTATATGACAATCAATAGGTTTGCCCCCGTTGAACACCATATTGTGAAGTTAGATCCACAAATGCTATCGAGAACTACTGTCAGCATAACAATGACCATAAGTGTATCCCAGTGATTGGATGGTAATAGAACTTTTTCACATTGATAAATCTGCAATTATTGATAAATTATACCATTTTCCACTTTCATTCCATTTGATTTAAATGATGAAGTAAAACATATTTGGATCTCTTTTTCAGAAAATTCCAAATGTATTTTGTGCTGGACTTGATTTGAATGAGGTGCTTCACTCTAGTAAGGGTACACTGGTTGTTTTCAGGAAAAGATTCCAAGAAATGTGGACACTTCTGTATGGCTCTAGCTTGGTAACTATGGCCGCTATAAAGGTGATTGGAATGGGAACTGAGGTGTATTGGAACTCTAGCTTAATTTGGAGGACTAAGCAATAGATTTAAAAATTTAATCTGTCAGACCCCAGAGATGAATACAAAGTTCACGACTGCTATTGCCACCCCTTGATTAAGTGTAATTCTCAACATTCACATCCCCATAATACTTTGCGTCTTTGGGGGGTAACCAGAGGGTAAAAACCCACTTATTTTGCTGAAGGCTGATCAGACAATGTTGACAATACCTTGTTTGGTATCCAAAAATAAAATGAAAAAATAAAAATAAAACAGAAAAAGATAGAAGCTTAAAGACGTTTAAGGTAAATTTTAAACATTTTTTTGTAAGTCAATACATTTTCTGTAAGACCAAAACTCTTGATGATCTGTACACGCAAAAATAACTTGGGATAAACTGATAATCAGTATTGTACAGATAAAAGCAGGTATAGTATAAATTCAATTAAGAAACCTTTCAATTTGGGACAGTTTTTTGATCGGTTACCCCCCAAAGACACAAGGCATTATGGGGATGTGAAAGTAGAGACTATATGTATCTACATATTATACTGACAGGGTCATGCAATCGCTGGTGGCTGTGTACTATCCTTGACTTGTGATGTATCTGTCATGTCACCAGGATATAAAATTGGCTTACCTGAACTATCTTTGGTATGTTACATGTCCTAGTTATGATATTAAAGGAGTGTTAGAAGCTGGACAAGACTATGGTTTTATGAATTTTTCTCAGTACTTATTTTGTTACTATAGCTATTAATGTCGATATATTCTTGGTATTTACAATACAATAATTTTTCCTTCATATTTTAGGGACTGTACCTTGCACCTTGGTTAGTAAGTTAAATTCTTTTATTAATAATCTTTTGTTATGAAGAAAGAATCTAAGATATATTTGAAGACATTGAATAAAATAATGTTTTCATGTGTTAGTGTCCTGGGGGGGGGGGGGGGTACTCCSCCAGGATTTGAGTAGGGGTGTTCCGCTGGGATTCTGAAAGGGGTACCCTGTTTATGACAAAAAATCTCAAATTTGTAGACCCTGCTTATGATAAAAGATATAATTAATTGCACTGAGTTCCTGTTTCAATTATCATGTCAGCTCATGTTTTTTTTTTTTTTTTACGACCATAATGACCAGTTTCGGTCAATACGAAAGTAGAATCCCTGAATATGACAGGAAACTCAGGAAGAACTTGGAACTTGAGTAAAATTGCATACCCTGTTTATGACAAGAAGCTCGAAAAACCATACCCTGTTCAGCGGATCATCCCGGTATAGTCAGTACTAGCTCACTCGGCATAATACAGGTAGTTTAAACATTATATTCCTTTCATTTCAGGATGTCAGGTACTCTAATCAATGCCGTTGGTCAAAGCAAGGCAGAGAAAATCATTTACAATGCTGAGGTTATGTCTTCAGAACAGGCTGCTGCTATTGGACTAATTCACAAAGTTGAGCCTATAGATAATGTTCTTCCTGAAGTGCACAGGGAAATGAAAACATGGTTGTCTGTACCAGGTATGAAAAGAATTTCCAGCATTAATATAGACATAATGTATAGCATTAAATCATGCATCTGCAGAAACCCAACTTTTAAAACACTTATATTTTACAACCATTACTCCCTGTATTAAGCTCTTCTGTAAGGTTCCCTCCTTATAAGCACTACCACTACATTCTATATTTACAACATGCAGCACTCAACTCACGTTGATTTTTGTAGAGAGAGAAAATCGTAGAACCTGGAGAATTAAATGCTCATGGCAAGGGAGAGAACAACACGTCAAACATACAAAAATCACATATCATCAGTTTTGAGCCAGGGCTCAAACCTGGACTACAGCAAGACGCAAGCCACCCATGCCACCAACAACCAGTGACCCAACCCATTAGACTCATTGAATAATGAAAGGCAAGTATTTTACTAATCCATCACCCTCAGTATTTTAATATTGTTACTTATTACTTGATTCTAGATGAAAGCAGAAAACTAACCAAGGCACGACACCGAAAACAATTATTGGACCTCCTTCAGAGAACAAAGGAAGAAGACATTGAAATGTTCGTTGCTAGGGTAACAAGTGAAGAAACTCGGAAACAAATTGCTACGAGACTGAAACAAATGGGAATGAAGAAAAAAATTTGAAATAAAGCGAAAATAAGATTCACACCACATTAGTAGTAACAATCGTTATAGATGAAGATAAACCACTGTAAAAAGTGAAAAATAGAAAAAAAGTGCAAAATAGTATCTCACTGTTCATAGCTATGCTGAATAAAAAAATCTCGTTTCACATGCTGTTTTAGTCCATGATTGTCCCATGTTTCACATGTTAGATGATGATTCTGCAAAAGACCTGCAAGCATCTTTGCTTAGTTGACATTCTGCTGTCCTCCGGCAGTTGATTTGTAATGTGTGGGAAGGCATTAACAACACACCATTGATCATGATGTAACAAAGAGGTACAAGTACTGTAGCTAAGTTGGCAAGTGGATTGCCTTCTAAGTGAGAGGACTTGTGATCTTACACAATTGTTTTAACTTCTCTCTAATCCATGTAACTTCAGCTTTCAATAATCTTAAAAGAGAGCACTTATAGACAGAGGGTACTGTAAAGTGCATACCGTCAGCTCCCTAGCTTACAAAGTATAGCCTTTACAGAGTGTGCCGTATACAAATGACGTTATTCCACTATACAAGTGTATCAAAAAGTCCAATGCTCAGCTCCATCATGACAACTTCATTTCCCAGCTCTTTAATGCCATCTTTTATTTATCTTACCAATAGCCAATCAAATTGCCGCCCAGGTTTCGCACTCATGAATTATTCATGAGGTACACAGGAAACCCATGAACAAAGCACTTTCAAGATGGCGACCAACATCAGACATGTCATAAAGCCGATCTTACGTATGTTTAGTCTCTGATTCCACTGTTATTGGAATCTCTTTGTTTTATAAAATGTTCTGTGTATTTTTACAGGTTTTTCTCCCAATTCAAGCAGGAACAGAATAACTAGGATTTTTGCAAGATATGCATCATCATCTTCGGTCGAAGTGCAAACACAAGACCAAGTCGCTACCGTGGTTCTGAACAGAAAACCCGTCAATAGCTTCACTTTAGAGTTTCTTGAAGAAATAAATACGACTCTTTCAGATCTTGAAAACAACAGAGACATCAGGGGACTGATCTTGACCTCAGTGAGTACATATAATATACTGGGGCGCTGAATACAGGGGCGAATCCAGTGGGGTGTCCCCAAAGATGCACCGGACACCCCCCCAAAGCCGCCTGTTTTCTCGTATTTTGTGGTACATATATAAGTCTTCTTCGTATTTATGATTTCTGTTTCTCGAATCTTTAGTCCGACTCAAGATTAAATTGAATAAGATTAAATATGAAAATAAATGTAATAAATCTATAATCACATAGACCCCTTAAAGCTATTCCCACTTCAGATTACTTTGGAATGCAAAACAGTGTTGTGCTGCATGGATGATATGCCGTAACTGGTCCATGTATATCTACTTTTTAAAAAGGTTGTTGGAGTAGAGAGAGATACTTGTGCCAATAAACTATAGGAGATAGGTCATTCCAAGATCCAAGAATAGAGATCTAGAATTATTGCTGGTTTTTTTTATATTATTATTGTCATTAAGAGCAGAGGTTATTGTTGAGATATGAACATAAAACATTTTACAGCTTAAATGCTAAAAGATCAAACAAGGTACAACTATATGATGGGGGATTCACTAACATGTCTAAATGGGGGTCCCCAAGTATTGTTTATCAAACCCAATTATATCTGGCCTAATGTCCTAAATACCTTTTGTAATCTTATAAATCCATTGTTTGTTTTTCTTGCAAACTGTCAGAGTCTACCAAAAGTGTTCTCTGCTGGATTAGACCTAATCAAGGAGATGCACAATCCTGATCCAAAGCGTCTTGCTGTTTTCTGGAGAGGATTTCAAGAGATGTGGTTACAACTGTATGGATCTAGATTAGCTACCATTGCTGTTGTCAATGTAAGGTTTATGTTAATCATACTGCACCAAGACATGATACGCTGTTTATCATTACCATGGTGATCATATCTATAGGGTGGTTAACCCTAACCTTAACTATACTGTTCATTTAAGGTTGATATTAATCATACTGCATCAAGTCACTGTTTACCATTACCATGGTGATCCTATCTATAGGGTGGTTAACCCTAACCTTAACTATACTGCTAATTTAAGGTTGATATTAATCATACTGAATCAAGTCATTGTTACCATGGTGCTTGTGTCCACAGGGTCATGCCATTGCTGGAGGATGTGTACTTGCATCAGCTTGTGATTACAGGATAATGGCTCCAAACTATTCCTTAGGACTTAATGAAACAGTTGCGGTAAGTAGAACTATATGAATTCCCTGACTCAAAACTTAATATGGTACCTGATACCTGTGTGGAGGACGAGTGTTTCATCAAGTGAATGCAGAAAAATGACCATTCACCAGGAATCGTCCCTCGTAGCTTAGCGACGGGAGACGTGGGTTTCATTCCTATCAGCAACTCCTTTTTATAAATGTCAGATTTAGACTTGGCCTCGTAGTTGTACATCTTTAGTAAGATTTGATTCTACTTGTACCATACGAATTAAAGCATTTTTACATTCAATTTTGACAATACTTTATTTTTGTTTAGGGCATTGCAGTTCCATTTTGGTGAGTGATTCTAGTGATTCTATTCAATCTGTTGTGGGTAAGGTGTCAGTCTGTAGTGGGTAAGGTTTCAGTCTGTGGTGGGTAAGGTGTCAGTCTGTTGTGAGCAATTTGTCAGTCTGTTGTGGGTAAGGTGTCAGTCTGTTGTGGGTAAGGTGTCAGTCTGTTGTGGGTAAGGTGTCAGTCTGTTGTGGGTAAGGTGTCATTCTGTTGTGGGAAAGGTGTCAGTCTGTTGTGGGTAAGGTGTCAGTCTGTTGTGGGTAAGGTGT